TTGTTCTTTTTTTTCCCCAACCTCTTCCCCTCCCTTCAACCCTTCTTACCCTCCTTATTTACAAACCTTTGTTTCCATTTTATCCTTCTTCTGTTTTTCTTTTTCTTTCCTTTTCCCTGCCCCACCCTAGTTCCCCTTTCCTCTTATACAATTTCTTAAACATTTTACTGTATCTCTTGTGCAATTTGGTTATTTACCTTTTCAATTTCTTACACCAGTGAGGTAATATAATATTTATACAACATGGTCTCAAGGTCCATCCATTTAGCAAAACATAGCTCAAGTTTATCCTTTTTTGTTATAGAGTAGTGCTCCACAATATTAAATTATTTTTTAAATCCAACTTTTGATTTATGGGAATTTGGGGTTGTTTCCAAGATTAGATATTATGAACTATGCTACTACAAGTATAAATGTGCATATACTGCAGTGTTATGATGCTTGTAATTCCTTTGGGAAAATATCAAGAAAAGTGACCCTCTAGTCCTAATTTTTGTGGAATCTCCACACTGATTTCCACAGAAGTTGCAGCAATCTTCACTCCCACCAATGGTAGAGAAGGGTTTCATTTTCTCCACAGCTTCTCCAGCATTTGTCATTGGTTGGTTTCTTGACAATAAGCCAAATCAAATAAGCATTAACACAATTATAATGGGGGACTTTAATACCACTCTGTCATAAATAGACATATCAACTGAACAAAAAAATCAGCAAAGAAATGCCAGAACTAAAACACATCTGTAGAAGACAACTACAGAGTTTTTTACTCCACAACATCAGAACGCACATTCAAATCATGTAGAACATTCTACCAAGTAGATCACACATGGAATTAAAATTATCTTATGTATATTATCTGACCATAGTGCAATGAAATTAGAAATCATTATCTAAAGAAACCACAAAAGCTCCATAAACATCTGGAGGTTAAATAACACCCTCTTAAATGACCAATGGATCACGTAAGAAATTAAACATTATCTACAATTAAACAATAAAGCTGATACAATGTACTAAATCTTATAGGATGCAATGAAATCAGTCTTAAGAGAAAAACGTATAGCACTGAATTCTCTCATCAGAAAAAAAAAAGCTCAAATTAACAACCTAATGTTGAACTGCAAACTTCTAGAAAAAGAACAACTCACGCAGAAAGCTAGTATGCTGGAGGAAATAGTAAAAATTGGAAAAGAAATTAATGCAATTGAAACTAATTGATAAACTCCTAGTCAGCCTTATCAAAATTAAGAAAGACAAGACTGGCATTCTTTCTTTCTGTTTCAGTGATTGTCCAACTTCACCTGAGTAGCAGCTCCACTGAGAGTCATAGAAAATGTCTCTCTTATAGGTTTGGGAACTGGGGAGCTCAAATTACCCAGTACAGAAAACTCCTGCTGTTTATGAGACAGATTTTTTTGACTCATGATTTATCTTAAGGGTAAATAGGGAAGTAGATAACAAAAAGAGATAAGTATGTCAGTTTTCTTTTGGAAAAGGCACTTGCTTTTTGTACATTAGTAGATAGATCACTTTACACTTTTCATTCTTATATGTTCCTTTGTAAGTGGAAATAAAATTTGTGGATAGAATTTAGTAGCAAATATATAACCATTTGAAAAACTTTAAAATGTTAAAGATATGTTTAAAGTTTCTAAACTCGTGATTCAACACTATTTAAACATCTAATGTATGGCAGAGACAGAAACTGTCTTAGCCTGTAAAGTCTGAAGATGAGGAAGACATGGATTTTGCATTGAGGTTCTTAGACCTATGGTCTAAGACCTAGATAGTCTGATACAAATTATGAAAAAAAAACTGTATAAATAAATTTCTGCCATGATCACAGTGAACTTACTTTGATTCACTTCCCATTGAAACTGTTAGAAATTATTTTTCCATTAACTAACTCTGGAAATTCTCATAAAAGCAGACAGCAAATCAATAAATATCAATACAAAACAATTTCTGAAAATCTAGTAATAAAGGCAAGTATCTTTAATACATTAACCGAAACGCTTACTCTCTTTATCTTCCCAGACAAGCAAGGTACGGCCATGTCTACTCCAGACAGGTAGAGACGAGAATTCATGGTTTCTTTTCCTCCCACTCTCCAGATGAAGGTTTTTCTACCTTCGGAGAATTTGGACTTCAGTGTTTCTCATCCTACCCTCAAGTGTTTGTTAACAAGAGAAGTCATGGGCAAATATAGCAGAAGTAACAATCCCTACTGGTAGATGAAGAATTCCAAGTCCCTGCTCTTGAGCTGGTGATTAATCTGCACCAAAAGTGACAAGCTGAATGACCTAAGGGGTGAAACATCCACCCTTCATTAAGTTCTCAGTTGCTAGAACAACATTATCAGTCTGAGAGAATCCTGCTATTATTTTTCCCACTCTCCACTCCAGAACCTTAGCTCAGCGATTTCCCCTGAGAAGAGAAGCAGATCATAAAACATGTGGTCCTCAAATCTTTCCAAAGGAAGACACTTCATTTCCAATTGAGGACAAGGCAGTTTGAGACTAAGGGTATTGTCAAGATCTGTGGAGCTTGCTGTGAAAGGATTAGAAGTGGCTTCATGGTCTAATAAAGATACAGTCTCCACTGTAGGTCAGGATGATTTCAGGAGAGAAATGAAGAATAAGAGCACTAGGTGAATGCTCCTCGGATCAGAGCAAGTTAACAAAAACAAAATGTGGGGCTGAGGATTTAGCTCAGCGGCATAAGCACCTACCTTGCAAGCGCGAGGTCATGAGTTCGATCCCTGGTACTGGTTAAAAAAAAAAAAAAATGTGTAAGATAGTGAATGCAATTCTGAAGCAGAAAAATACTATAGTTGAGATTAAAAGATTGTTAGAGGAGTACAATGTTAGATTTGAACTAAATTAAGAAAAAATGATTGTACTTATAAATAGACTGGTATAAACAAATGAGGAAAAAGAATGAAAAAACTGGGGATAACCTTGGAAAAAATGTTGAATAACGTTAAGTGTATCAACATCCTCATTATAGAAATACGAGAAAGAAAGGAGACATGAAAGAGGGTAATTGAGGACAAAATGAATGAAACTTCTGAAATTCATTGACAAGCAATAACCTAAGTGAATTCCAGGTCAAAGAGACCCACAAACACATGCATCACAAAAACCTTCTGAAAATAGAACATGAGGGAACCCCTGAAAACGGTAAGAGAAGATGTATCACTTACAAGGCAGTATCAGTAAGGCTAACTGTTGGTTTCTCAGTCAAAACTAAAAGCTACATGGCAGTGAGGTAACACATGCAAAGTTTTCAAAATAGAACACTGTTACCCAAGAATCTTATAACCAATAAATACATATTCTAACAAATGGAGAACATAATTTCCAGATAAGAAAACCTGGGAAAGATTGTTTCTAGCAGACTCACCTAAGAATACTAAAAGAAATTTTTCAGGCAAATGACACCAGAGAATATTGTAAAACCACATAAACAAAGAATGCTAGTAAAACTGTAAAACACTATAAATGTGGGGAGTGGCTGAAGCTAGTAATGTATCACATCTGTGGAGCATCCTACACCAGCATCATGAGCAAGCTGTTTCAGCTCAGACAACATGGAGAGCCTGAAGCAACACAAGTAAACAGATTGCTAGGCAGAGGAGTGTCACATGACATCAGCCTCCTGAATGTATAAATAAATGTGTTGTGGTCCTTAAGCAGTTCCTTTCTCCCATCCGGAGAGAGGACTCCACTCGACCTCAGCTTTCTGCTTAATGACTCTTCTTTATTTTTTTATTCTCTACCATCTTTCATTCCAAAACTTTTGAGACTGGTACTGGACACAATTAGTAAGCTGCACAATCACTGTAGTTGTATATTTTCCCTTTATTTTGTTAAATGACGTTAAAAGCAATTTTATACAATTTTGTATACTGCATATATGTGTATAGTACTATTTATCCTATAACAAATGAAAATGTAATAAGTATAGTTATAATATATTTGCAAATAACAGTGTAAAGAAAGTAACTGGAACAAATTTGTAATGGACTAAGAAAACAGGGAGGATAAAATAATTTTTTAAATACATTTTTGGATTTGTAACATTAACAATATGTTTTACAATAATAATTTAAAAATGAGAAAAATAATTAAAGTTACATATCACCAGAATTGTTATTTTCAAATGAGTTTAATTTTCATATATTAAGATGTATAAGTACATTCTGGAGGGAATCACTAAAAATAACTCAAAATTAATTAAAGGAATTGACCTGCTACAGTAGAACATATTCACTTGATAGGAAAAGAAAGAAAAGAAGAGGAATAAAGGAACAAAAACATATAAGAGACATGTAGAAAATGAAAGTAAAATGAATGTTTTTAATTTGAATATATCAATAATAACACTAGATTTAGCTGGACATAATGGCTTGGACTTAAGTGCTCCCCAAAAGGTCCATGTGCTATCAGCTTGGTCAACAGCCTGTGGCACTGATGGAAGATAGTGTAACCTTTAAGAGGAAGGTCGTACTTGAAGGCACCCGGGCCCCAGAAATGCCACCTCGAACTCTAGCGAGTTATTGTTTTGTTTTGGAAGGATTGAGATATGAGTTTTGCTACACTGCCAAGCTCTCTGCCATGAGGTTTTGCTTCCCCACAGGCCGCAATAGAATGAATCCACAATAAAGGAAAACTATAGCTCAGTGCTTGTTATGAATATGAACACAAAACTTTTCAAATGAAAAAACCACTAGCAAACTAAATACAACAACATATAAAAAGACCAAATGTCCAAAAATCAATCACTATATTATATCCATAGAATAAAAATAAGAAGTTATGTGACCACCTTAACAAATATTAAAACAGCATTAGAAAACAATTTCAACACCTTATTATGATTTTTGTTTCTCAATGTGATAAATGTCCTCTAAGAAAACGCCATTGGCTGGCATCATACTTAATGGTAAATGACTTGAAGCTGTCACCTCTAAAATCAGGGTGAAAAACACTAGAAAATATGTTTTTGTTATTTTTATTCAGCACTGTACTGGAGGTTCTAGATACAATAACTGGCAAGAAAAAAAATAACGAAAGGAATCAAGATTGAAACAGAAGTAACTATCACTTTTTGGAAATGACATCATATTGAGAAAATCTGTTACAATTTATTATTACTAATTAACTCTTCAAATTGGCATAATACAATGCATAAAATAATTTATATTTTATGTATCTGTAAAGAGCAATCTGAAAATAAAATTAAGAGGACACTTCCACTCATAATTACATGACTCGTGACTCTTCAGAACAAAGGGTCAGCGTGTAGCTTAGCAGTTCAGTGCCTTCCTGGCAAGTGTGAGGCCTCGAGTTCAATTCCTGGTGGAAAAAAAATGAATGAGATTCTTAGGAATACATTTAACAAAAAAAGAAAAACTTATATTATGAAAACTATCCACGAAATTTAAAATTTTTAAATAAAAGAGAAAACAATGTTCATAGTTTAAAAGTTTAACTTTGATGAAATAAAAGTACTCCTTAAACTGAGCTACATATTCAATGTTCTCTCTATTGGAATCTCAGTTTTATTTTTTCTAGGAATTCATAATATGGTTCTGAAATCCTATTGAATTTTCTATAAAGCCACACTAATCAGAACCCAGACAGATAGTGGGAATGTGAGGAAGAGGAAAATCATAAGAGACTAGAGGGGAAAAATGGAAACAAAGCTTTTGTACATAAGGAGAGGAAGAAGGGTTGAAGGGAGCTGTGGGGGACGGGAAAAAAGAAGAACCTAGATACACTACGAACAGGTACAAGTTCGCTATGAAGCTTGTGATCATTATGTATATCAGATATGTATCAATGAAATAATTTTTTTAAAAATTGCTAATTTTTGTTCTTCAAAGGACACCTCCAAGAGAGTAAAAGAAAAGAAAAATGGGAAAATATTGTAAATTACATACCTTATAAAGTTCCTGTGTCTATATGATGAATACAACCAGGAAAAATGCAAATAATCTAGAAAAGGACAAAGAACACTGAAGAATATTTCTCCAAGAAAAAAATTAAAATACCAAGTAAGACATAAAAATTTCCCAATATCATTATTTAAAGGCAAATGGAAATCAAAACTACAATGAGAAACCATTTCGGATGCCCTCAGATCTCTAGGATCAAAAAGTTAAATACTATAAATTGTTAGTGACTATATAGAGAAGCACCCATGTCCTGCTGATTAGAATGTAAAATTATGAAATTTCTTTGGATCACAACATAAGAGACGGCTACACCACTCAAATTATGACAAATTGAGTTATCATATAAGCCAGCAATTCTACAACTAGATATATACTTTAGGGTAAAGGAAACAAATGCCAAAAAAAAACCTTATACATTAATATCTATAGCATCATTATTAAAGTAACTAAAAGGTTAAAAATACTCAAAAAGCCCACTGACAGACAAATGAATAACACACAAAGAAATGTACATTACACAAAGGAATATTATTTACCCCATAAAAGTACTGAGTCATGCTACAGATGTATAACTTTGAAAGCATCATACTAGGAAACTACTCAAAAGCCTACATTTTATTCACATGACAGTATTAAAATATCAATATGAATAGAATGTTGAACAGTGGTGGCTTAGAGATGAAGAGAAAATGTTCTAAAAATTACCATGGTGATAGTGGTACACACCTATGAGTACACAGAAAATTTTGAATTATACAGTTTAACTTGGAATTGTGTGGTACATGAATATATCTTAAAAGTTTTTTTTAAAGTTTGGATCTTATGCTAAGGAACACTATTTGAGACAAAATTTAATTATTTTACCTAAGATAGAGACAAAGTCAAATGGGTCAAAAATCTTAGGAGATTTTTAAGATAGTTTTTCAAGCACGGATGGGAGCCTTATTTAATCTATTTTCCTCATTCTTAGTTTTTACATATAATTTATTCCAACAGCCAACCTTTGAACCCTGATGACATATCACCTTTATTATAGAGTCAGTCACTTAACATATAATATTGGTATAAATCACCTTTAAAAGGAAAAAATGCATAGATATCTTACAAAAATTTCTACTTATCCATTAATTATGATTGTGCTTAAACTTGAAAGAAAGTGAACCTTTTATTACTCACTTACTTACAAATCCTTAGAAAACTTTGTGTGTCTTATCAAATCCTTCTTAAAAGATCCCTCATACTCATAAAGAAAGAAAAACTTAAGCCAACAAACATTAAATATCTATAATCCTTTTAAAAATTACAATCTTTCCTGCCTCTTTCTTATTAACAATTTGTGTCAGAATCCATTCTTAGGTGTTAACATTATGTAGCACATTGCCTTGGGAAAGCCAAAAGTTAATCTGTCCAGCTAAATCATGACGGTGTCTGTATTTTTAGATGTAATTTTTCTGTCCCCTTTAAGAGGCTTTGTTCAGGTGGACATTAGGATATTTGAGACTGATGTACCTTATACAACAAGAGGAGCTACCCAGATCATGGTCATTAGTTTTTAAAACTGGAGACCATTTATTTCTCATTTAGTCATTCATTTAATTCAGCAAATTTATGTTAAGATTTGCTTACTATAGGACAGACGCTAGTGATATGAAAACAAAGCAAAACCCTTTTCCTCCTGGAGTTCACAGTTTAATGGCCAAAGGCAGAGAGACCACAAGGCTATATGGTTGGAATATCCGGTAATAAGGTTGTAAAGACAGAAAAGCAAGTGACACTGTACTGAACTATAAAATGCTGGGGCTGCTTTTCTTCTGACAAAGCTGGAGTACACGTATGTGTGCACAGGGGACCTGCAGAATACTGCCCTGACAGACTCAGCCTTTGCAAAGTGTACCTCTTGGGAAATAAATACCCAGATCACTGCACTCTGTTGTTCCCCTCTGACTTAGGCAAATAGATTGATTTCAGTATATTAACCCTGACTTGCACATTATAAGACTCACAGGAAACCATCTGATCATTTACTTTGAAAACATGATAGAATCTTTACATTTCTTATGAGGAGATTTTTACTCTATTGGAACCCATTTCTTCCAAAGCATGCAAGGAACAGAACAAAAACAAGTCTCCTGAGCATTCCCTTTCCCTGTGAGTTCCATACGTCTGCCTGAGGTAAGGCAGGAAAGTGATCCACTTCCACAGCAAACTTTACCAGGAACACACTGATTGGATTTGATAAACCCAAGATGGGAAACACAATTTAAAACATACAAGCATCCACACATTGGATATCGCTGACTTCAGAGCAGAATTCCAAAGACATTTGAAGTGAAGCCAGTCAAAGTACATGTCTGCGAATTCTCCTCTGGACAGAAAGCAGACTCTCCGATTCTGTTATATTTAGCAGTGGAGTCACTGTGGGTCCTTACGTATCAACCACATTGTATATTAAGTAAACGCCTTGCCTTGATCTCTTACAATGGATGAGTATATATTACCAAGAGCATTTTGTAGGATAAATCTACGCTAAAAAGATCAAGTGTTTTCTTGATTGAGGAGGAAATAGAAGTCTGACATGATCAGCATTACACAGATAGTAAGTAAAAGAACAAGAACTGAAGTACAGGCTTTTGGGCTTTGAGTTCATAATCTAGAATCAAGTTTTTGTATTAAATGTGATTTTATTTTCTCGCACGTTTAGACACCTAGCTCAGGGTTGCTACAGCTGCTCAATGGCCTGGGAAGAACTGAAACTCTTTCTGTTTACCTGTTTCATTGGTCTTATCTCACAGGGCTTTGTGCCCCTCTGAGTGTCCCTTTTACCTGAAATTTCAAGCTTGAAACTTACTCTGTGGGTAGGAAAGGGGTCAAAGAGGTACAGGGACAAGAGAGGTAAACGCTGAGCTTGGACCCTTTTAACAGATTACTAAAAGCTTTCCCCAAGTCCCACGCAGAGGACCCCTGTTGACACTTGCTTGGCCAGAGCTCTCTACCATTCCTAGACCCAATGGAATAAAAGGAAGACACAATGGAATTAAAGGGTTCTACTTTCTGGGTTTAAACAGTGGGAGAGACAGAGGAAGAGGGGACCGTCAAGGGCTCCCAGGTAACCACTGACCATGACTAGCACTGAGCTATAGTAAGTTGGTTTTGCAAATACTATCTTAATTTTTATTAGATGTGAATTATTATATAGAAGATATCTGATTGGAGGTAGGGAGCGAAGGTTCATAATATGGGGATATTCTGAATAAAAAATGTAATTTCACCCTGTCTCATTCTGAATTGGATGCTCACTCAATGCTCAGATTCTTTCAACTTTCCACTAATATATGTTTCATATTTATTTTCATTTAATGTATGTTTTTGTACTCTTTCTGCTCTCTTCTTTCATATTTTAGTACTAATTTTTAAACAACACAAAACTGTACTGTGATGAACCCCCATGTGCTCTGAGCACCTATGACAATGGTCAGTACTAATCTTGCTGCATCTACTCTCTCCTTTTTTCCCCTGGAATATTTGAAGCAATTCACTTCTTTTCAATTCTCTAGAGCAGATTTTGCCTTGAATACCTACTTTTTTTTTTTTTTTTTTTGCTTTTTCACACAATAGAGTCTAAAAGAATTTTGACATGACTTTTTACAGGAATAAAAACTCACTAGAAAATTCTATTTCTCTCTAGATATTTTGACTTCTTGTTAGAAAAGATTAAAAACAAATTGATAAAAAAAGAGAGATAAATTTTAAAATTGAAAGCCTAAAATTTCAAAAGTGAAATTCTATCTCCCTCCCTAAGGGATTACTTCCTTAGTTTGCAGAGTTGAGTTTATTCTCTCTCTGAAAATTAGGTCACAGTTATGTGCCATTTCAGCCGTCTCTGGCAATTGCCAAATGCAACAGTTAACATCCTACCATTTCCTATCTGTATTCTTTAACTTTATTCTAAATCCAAACTGTATGCTAGTAGCTTAATGGACTGGCACAGTACCACCTGAGACTAGAGAAGCTGTTTAAGCAAGAATCCACCTCTCTGTTATCAGAGATTTTGAGCCCTTCATCATTTTTCTTCCTTTTCCTATAAGACAAATAATCCAGAATGTTAACAGCTATCCTTAATATATTAAAAATATATGTATTCTTCCACATACAATATTATCTTTTTGTTTGGCCACACACTTAGGTATGTATTTATTCACCAAATATGTTTCAGGTTCACCAACACCTTATTATTAAAAGTTTTAGGGATGCAGTCATTGGTAAAAGAACCATAATGCATCTCTGTTTTTATAAAGCTAAATAAACCCACAGCCTAAAATCTTTAAGTGGGAATCAGATAGAAATCAGCCGTGTTGTAAAATCTAAATAGTAGAAATGCCAGTCACAGAGTGCATTTGAAAAATGCATAGTGGTAGGATCACGGGGTAGGAAATGGGCCTGGCTGGAAGGATCTCTATATGTGTATTTTTATCATCTATGTGTTGGATGAAGCGGAGAGCTGCCAGATAGCTTCTTTTCGACAGCTTGGAGTTACTGTTGGGAACAGATCCATGTATGGAAGTGAAAGCCGAAACGCACAGATAAGCTGAGATCCAGCTATGCAAACCATGTTTAGAGACACTTAAAGGACAAGCATTTCAGGTCCTTTCTTCTGGTAAATTTGGAGAAGCCATCACACTGGATCATTTTTCACATCCAGCCCATGCAGACTGAGCAGCTAAGGCTTGACAGAGGTAGGTGCAGGACTTCCATGAGGAAGCTTATCTAAAGGATCATTTGTGAACGCTCCCAAAAAGGTCCTTGATGTCCTATATGGGAAGGCAAGAGGGCAGAGAGAGAGAGAGAGAGAGAGAGAGAGAGAGAGAGAGAGATGCAGGAAGGAAGGGAGCACTGGAGCTAGTGACTAACAGGCATCTAAAAGCTTTGCCTTCACAAAGCAAGCTTGCTTGGCTACGAAGGAAATATGACAACACAGATTTGCTGCCAAATAACAATCCCTTTGTTCTGGGTCACTTACCGTTCTGAATTTTTGTGGAGACAGGTCTTCTGCAGTACTGCCAGCACCTGTAGGAATGGTTCACAGCTTCCAGCAGTATTCTGGTACTTACTAAATATTTTTGGGTGGGGTAGGTGGAATTTGCTTTTTTTTTTTTTTTCTTCTTGTTCCCCAGAAGCCGGCAAAAACTCACATGTGTGATTAGCTCTTCCTTCGCTGTAGGAAGAGTTGCTTGTAAACGGCATTATTTTTTTGGCAGCTGAAGTCATTTTTGCAGTGTTTCTCAGAGGCTCAGAAGTTGATTACATCCTGCTCAAAGATTCTTGGGTTGTTTTCACAAACATGGGGTCTTGCGTAAGTGAAAGTTGCTGAAACCAGCTGTAAGTTCTGAATGTCCTTGGTACTTTTAACATTTCTTTCGTCCTTCCTTTCTTTGTTTCTTTATTTTTTTCTCTTATTGTCTTTCTTCTTAATGACTGAAAACTTAAGAACTTGATGAGGAAATATGTGCAAATATTATTGTTATCATTTTGTCATCAGAGATCATTTAAGAATAATAAGTTGTCCAAAATAATAAAAATCGTATCTCTCAGAAATACAAGGTAAAAGTACAGAGTATGAAAGTATAAAGGCAAGAGAAACAATATCTACTTATATATAATTAATATTTCGCACAATAGTGCTTAAAACAAGCAAGTCATATGAATTGTGCTTTGAAATTATATTCCAAATAATTTCCCAGTTGTTATTGAAGAATTAATGTAGTTCTACTAAAATTTTAAGGCATCTGAGAACTCCTGCCAAACACTCACAAAAGTTCAAGGGGGAAATGATAGGTCATATCTATAAGCTATATGTGTTTTTCCAAGGTTTAATTAAAATAATCCTTATGCAAGATAATAAAAATTAAACTTCAAGATTTATCTTGTGGAGAACAATGTATGTGTAACTCAAGTAAGTTTTGAACCAACTCTTCATTTAGCTTAGTTTGCAACCTTCTAATTGAGCAAAAGGAAAGGGAAAGAGGAAAAAGATGAATATGATTTTCCATCCATGGTGACAAACATGCCATGGGAAATGATTAATAAACAAGTGCAAAGAAAGGATAAAAATAGTTTGTAATAGTAACCAAGGAGATGCTCTCAGGATGAATTAGAGAGCTGGAAAAAAATTAACAGACATAGAGGAAATGACTACTTATGTGGGGTTTCTTCCAAGCTCTGCTTGTTCCATTTCACTGAAAAAAGTGACACAAAACGAAAGTGACATTCAGTTCCAGTAATCCAGTAACATTATCAAAGTAGTTATACTAAAATATGGATTTTTATCAAGTTATTCTTTCACGTATCTGTTTACCTGCACAGTGCATTAGGTTTATAACACATTACTATTTCTCTATTTCTATGAGTTTATTTTATATCATTGAAAAATATTAATATGTCAGATATGAGAAAAAAAGAACAAGAGAGAAATAAACTGTGCATTCTTTTTTTTTAAAATAACACAAACAAGCTACTGTAACTTTAGCTAAAGGGAAACAGGCCTATAGGATGGTTTTAATATACTTAATTAAACAATATATATCAGCTGGCTTCCCTAAAGGGACAGCACAGCAAGAGTCTTTGTAATTTTAATATGCAATAATGTTCATGTAAATGATGCCAATAGTGTTTGTGAACAGATGTGACACATACATGCTACCATCTACTGTTTTTTCATTTGCTCAGTGCCAAATGTATTTCAAGTATACACTCATTGGAGAAATGACTGTTCCTGTTTCTTCTTTATCAACAAATGTAAGGAGCAGAAGATATGTAATAGTAAATGAGTTATTGCTTCTTAATGTACAGTATGTTAATATTTATGAAAGAACCTAATAGTCAGGCCACCTTTCCCTTTTGTTGGTGAGTGCTTAAGCATTAGACAATGCCTATACATGTCAAAAATACAGAGAATGTGTTTTGAGAAGAGAATTAAAGGGCTGACAGGCTCATGTGAGAGCAAAATGGCTGTGGGTTTTTGTTACCCTCAGTGGAGGCATGAAGCAAATTCATGGTGGCTAAGGATAACAGAGAAATTGCAATTCATCCAAACAGCATACAACTCAGCTTAGAAATTTCTGTCTCTCTAATAGGATCAGATTGGACAGTACATGGGCCTGGCCTTTTGTGACACAACACCTAGGAGATACTGCTTTGCAGGGATTTTGACAGGAAACAATCTTTCTGTATTTGGGAGAGTTTATATGAAAGGAAGAGGGATTTATTTTTCCAGAAGCGTGGAAACTTTGTTCCACAGGAAAGGTCATTAAATTGAAAGGAAGAGATATCATTGGTTATTAGAAAGAAAGAAAGAAAGAAAGAAAGAAAGAAAGAAAGAAAGAAAGAAAGAAAGAAAAAAGAAAAGAAAAGAAACAAAACCAAACTGTTGTTCAAATGAAACTGTGAGACACTGAGTGGTCCCAGACAGAGCAAAGATTTCAACAATTTTAAAAAGTATATTAAAGGTTTAACAGGGGAACACAGTGGAGAGGTCCTGGAAGACCAAACTATGTTTCTCCAAGGTCAACGAATGGGAGATAAAATTCCCCCAGATTTCACAATTCTAGATTTCTAATCAGAAGTGATCTGCCCAAGCAGCATCCTTTCCACTGATTTTGCAAATTACATATTTCCAAGCCTCTGACAAGTTCTAGAGTAAACTTACATACCAGAGACTTGTTGAAGGTATTTTTAAGGCATGTAAAGCAACAAAAAGAAACAGATTCACATGACACTTAACCTTGCTGAGTAGAAAGTGCTTCATATTCTGCTCACTTCTGAAATGAGCGCTGTACATTAGAACCACATAGGACAAGTGATGACCAGCAGCACCCTTGAGGACTTAATATAGTTATGGGGCTCAGACTAGAGTATCTCATTTTTTAAAATCAAACTTAAGGAATTATAATATGCAACCAAGAATCAGGTTTTTGTTTCAATAAAAAGTGCAGTAACCACTCTAATATATTTTAGTGGGGTAAATCAAATAACTATTTATTGAAAAATTGTACTTTTTCCCAGAAAGGTAAGTTTTGATTGCTGATGTAAATTTTGCTTGAAATCTTACTTAATATCTAAAAAGAGATTGTTTCTATAAAAAAGATTTGTATGAATATTTGCTATCTCTCATTAGGTAACTCATGTGAGTGCTAGCCACAATCATTAAAAAAGTATAACATATGTGTAGAAAACATTATAAATTTAAACCACAGCTTCTAAATGAAATTTTGTTGTTGTAACAAATTATTGAATAATATCTTGAATGAGTTCATTAATTTTGGATAGTTAAGTTTTGTTCATGGTAGTAATGGTGGTCATGGTGTGTGTGTGTGTATGTGTGTGTGTGTGTGTGTGTGTGTGTGTGTGTGTATACCTTTTATCTTTCTAGCAAGTAATAAGAACTGTGAAGAGATAGTGCATGACTCTATGTAGAAGATATGTTAATTCATCACATATCAGTATGTATGAGTAAAAACATAACATTAGCCAAAAACCGGAAGATATATATGGTCCATGTTGAATTCCTTCCATTCTTGTAGAAACTGTTTACTGAATTGAGAGCCCTAAAACAAATTTTCTGAGACAAATGCTGGTAGACATCAAATAAATACCTCCTTTAGGTTTCAGGTCTGCACAAGTCCTGGGTAGAGCAGGGAGCAGGGTGCTGAATGTGAAGGTTGCTGGAGTCAGAGAGCTTAGGTTTCATTCTGGTTCTTTAATGTGTCCATCACTGTGAATCCTAACTTTAGTAATGCTTTATTTTCTCCTCTGTAAATTAAGTAGTTTCCATAATGAAGGCATTGAGTAGTTCAGTGTAATAAGCAGTAGATGATATCATCTTGATAGGCAATATTAGCATCAAATGAGCTACTCCCAGGAAGACTAATTCATTTCCTAAACACCATATAGGTTGTTTCTAAAATAACCTGGCGCTGATACTGAACATCTGGGACATATTTATTTCACAGCCTTTGATCGATGATGAACACTGAATTTTCTTCCTGCTCCAAGATCTTAACGTGAAAATGCGCCTAATAATATCATCATGTCAGATATATAACACAAATAAACCCCGGCATACATTCAATCATGAATATTAGGAGGTCTACAAAAGACTTTCAAAAACAAAGCTATATTGTAATAGACGAGAAAGGAATTCACTAACAAAAAGTATTAACTTATTTTCTGAATAAAATATTTCTTAGGTAAATGAGAAACAAGAATGCACAGGCTATTCAAAGTAAGGTATTGGATTCCAATGAATAATGATACTATCCAAGAATAGACGTAATTTTAGTCCTTTATCTGGCCATACAAGAGACAAGTGCAATCACATAAGAAAAGATCTCATGGGTCATTATCTGCAAGCTACTGTTGAAGTTAATACAGAGAAACAAAATTTTAATAAACTGTTTCTAAATATTAATTTTATCAGTGATTTACCCATATGTATAAAATATTAAAGTATAGCCTATGAAATAATAAGTATAGTATTTTTTAGTTAAAAAATCTCAGTTCCAGGTATAAACAAATTCATATTCAAATATCATGCTGGATAAGTTACTAAAAACTACCCAGATATGTGTTTGGGTACTATTTTCTAAGAAAATTACTAAGCAAGTAATATGTGTTGTTTTTGTTAATCCTGGAAATTACTGCATGAGACAATCACCCATTGTACAGATGGAGACTGCACACAGAAAGATTATATAATCTACCCAAGGCAACAGAGTACACAGGAAGAAAAAATGTGAGGTCTCAGGTTAGCTGTATGTTACAATATCTGGCAACTGTTTCCTAGTCATTTAAGAATGGAAACAATAACACGAATATGTGTAAATTATTTATTATAGTCCTGGTAAGAAGGAAGAATAAAATCGTGTTATCTATTTTTTCAGATTATTGCTTGTTTAATTTTATGTTTAATGAATAATCATTTGAAGCAGTATTTTCAAATGCCAACTATATCATAAGGGATATGAATCTTTCTTTAAACATTGATGCTTCTAAATTGATGAATTAACATTTCAGTGACAAAGATTAAATTATTATGTGGTGACATATGCTACCCTTATCCTCTCTGCTTACCATAATACTTGTGTTTCAATAAAATTGAAAATTTTAACGCCTGTTTCCACACTCTTTAATGTTAGATAGCAAAAA